TTTTAAAATCTTAAATCCACTTGTGAATTTATACATATACACAGTGGTGGATTCAGAGGGGGGGGAAATTGGGAGGTTTGTCTCCCAAGGGCCAAATGGTTTATTAATAATTTTACTACTCGAATTTTGTGTTTTTTCAAAAATTATTTATTTATTCATGAATATCTATTTGGTCCAGATGTGTATAAGAGACAGGTCTTTGAATTTTTGGAAAATTTCGTATCAAAGAAATTTGCGGATGATGTTTAAGTATATAACTATTAACCCTGGAAATTTCGATTTAATCAATTACTTATTTCCCTCGCAACAATCCTTCAGAAAAGTCGATTTTTAAGCCTCTAAAGCAGACTACCCCCCTTAAACTCAATAATTAAGACATTTGTTGTTCAATTTCTATGTTTTCACCTATAGAAATAAAGGTAGATTAATTCGTAACAATAAAATTACTTGATTTCTTAACTTACATTTCAAATCTGTGTGCGACTGTTTTCTTGATTTGTTTCTGACAGCAAAACCGATAAAATTGGTTTCTGTGACAGCCAAAACCGATACAAATTCTGTTTCGAATATCAAACCAATAATATCTGAATTCATGACACCTGCTGCTTTTTTTGATCGGTTTCAATTCTGATTCCGACAACTATCAGATTCCACAACACCCCTGAATAATCCACATGTTTCAAGTAAATTTATATTTAACCTCAGAAACCCCAACAAAATTATTTCTGGATCCACCCCTTAACTTAATCTACATTTTTCTAATCTAACAATGATGAATGCGGCTTTAAGTGTGAGATGGAACGAATCTTTTACGGTGGTCTCTTGCGGAGAATGATTYAAACAATTGTATTTTGAAATACAGGAATTGGAGTGAAAGGCGGTTTTTCTCTAAAATCTTTTGTAGATCAAGTTTTGCTCTGCCTCGATAGCTCTTTGCACATGAGTTGCAACTGTGATCTCACACGATTTGAGTTATACTTGTATAGGGAGAACTTCTCAATAACTTAGTAACC